CAAAGTGCAGACGTCATTTCTTTCTTTTTTTTTTTTAATTTCAGAAAGTAATGAGATAACGAAATGATAAGCTGGAACTGATAAACTGTGTAAAACGCGAAACAATTAGCGAAAGCGCGTAGGAAATTAAAGGGGAATGTAATTCCATCAGGAAGTAATGAGTTCATACTAAATGTTACAAAGGGAAGATGAAATAACGAATAATCTAGAAAATTCACTCACGTAGTGCTGATTGTATTAAAGTGAATGTATGGTACGGAAATCTTTCAATAATAAAACAGTTATTTTTCTGTTATTAAATGTCATTTATTTGCATGGAAAACAATTTATTTAAACGAATACCTCGATTTCACGGTTCACTTATCTCTCAGATATTATTTCTGTGGAAATATTCTGTTTTTAATATCTCAAAAATGAATATTAGCATTTGTATTGTGCGTTAAGTGCGTGGATTTAATGGCAACAACGATCCGACTGCTGATCCAAGACACTTGAAATTGCTTTCAACATTTTACACTTTCCATTGAATATCTTTAGCGAAGTGAATAACTAGCGCACTCCAAACCGTCTGAAGTCATCTCGAGCCACAGAGCAACATTCGAAGAGTCTCAAAACGTCTTACAAGCCCGTTGCAATGGAAACTCCTGAAAATGGAAGTTCTTAGAATTATTGAAAGCCTCGAATGCTTCAAGCATCCGGAATGTCCTGGAGTTGTAATAACGCTCGATTATTTGTCTTGACTTCCGGCAGGGTTGTGCTTCGAACAACAACGCGGTTATTGCACACGTTTTCAATTTATTAAGTGCGGGCAACCTTATTTCAAATGTACATTAATTTTGTATATTTTATTATTTATTTTATTATCTCGAAACAAAAATCGGCGCTTTAATTAAAACTATCATCGGTAAAGTAATATTCCACAGGTACATTTGGAAAATATTATTGTAATTCGTTATCTACTATTGTCCAGAACATTAAGAAGAATTTTATTGTTCGTGAAATAATCAAATCTACGAATTCACGCATAAAATGCGTAAATAGTGTATTAAAACGATAATTATTTTAAAATTGTACTAAATGATTTACATTCCTTGGAGATGTTAGATGAACTAGTTTATTGTACAATAAATAAAATTTTAATTAGAGATTATATTTCTTTTTTTAAATAATCAGTGATTAATCTTGTTCTTTAATTTTGCTATTATGTACTCGGAATAACAAACAAAATTAAAAAATTACGTTGTGCAGTCCCCCTAACGTCTCCGAAAAGTTCAAGTTGCTTGATCCAATTTCGAAAAGTGTCCGAATACATTTTTTACCCACTGTATAAATGTTAACTTTTTGCATCAGTGTATTTCCATTCGATTTCCCGAATATTGCGTCCGTAGCCATTTCGTTAAATTGAGATTCCATTGTACAAAATGTTTACGTTCAATGTGCAAAAATGTTTCAATTTTTCAGTGTTCAATAATATTTATAAATTTTTATTTAAAATCTCTGTATTTCATGTTTTCGATTATGCCTGCCGCGGCGAAAATGAAAAAAGATTTAATGGTACGTTTTATCAGCGTAAAGTATAATGGGATTTTCGAGTATTGTTTGCTGGTCGAGACATTTAGAATTAGTTAGCTTCCAGGTTGAAATTCTCCGGATTCTTTTATAGAAACGTCTCGAGAACTGCCACTCACAAGTCTCCACTTTCCGCTACGCAACTTCCCCGAAATTGCGTTGTCGTTTCGTATGATAATGTTCAAAACAAGCCAGGAAGTTCTGAACGGATTCGTTACTTTAACGAAGTAAGTCACCAGAAAGTGTTTATGCAGGCTGTAATCGATGCAAGAATCGGCGGGCTGGTTAACCGCGTGAAAGGCTAAGTTGGAAGTGCAGCGTAAAATTACGCAATATTTACTTTCCAAAATATTCGATCCATGAAACTGCTGCGCTTATATATTCGGTAAGTGGAAACGGGCGTCAATGATCCGACACACCAGCGAATCAGGTTTCACTAATAATAATCTAATCGAAAATAAAGCTCAATTTTTTCAGACGAGATTAGTTAACGAGATTATGTTATGATCTCAACCTTTTTATTTTAAATGTTACGTAAATAAAGCAGGTCAAATGCATACATAAATATCAAATATAGAAATTATAACATACAATTTATCGGAAAACTACTTTTTGTCGCAATCTCAGAAACGTACTGAAAAAATGTTAAGATCCAATTAATGACTTAAATTGTTTACCCATATTAATATGACTTTTCTATTTTGGTAAGTATACGATTAGGGATCAGTGCAATTTTCATTATTTTAGAAAGTTTAAATGTTTCCTTAAAGAATAATATAATAATAACACCGTTAATAATTATATTACATGGATGCTACATTCTCGATGTGTATTATTTATTAATTTGTTGCATGACATAGTCGCATATTCTGCAGATACATATGTTATCCAACAACCAAGCGGAAAATCGAACAGATTGTAAATTAATTATAATGAAATTCGTTGGAAGCTTTATGATTTTACCACAAATTAGTGTTCAATTTCAATGTTACTCATCATTTCCACATTAAGCTGCTCGTCATTATAATGATTATTTATGTAAACGCAATTACTAGACTGCGAATCTGTACATAATGACGGCATCCGCAGATAACATTTCTTCGTCATAAGTAATCTTCTTATCGACGAAAATGATTTTTTCCTTGCCTACGAAATTACTATTTTCATCGAATAGTCAGCGATGATGCAAATTTTCATATGATACGAATTCGATGTTATTTCCTAAATAAAAATTATCCTTGACAATTATTCACAAACAGGTATCATCCCTATAATGATTTTTTAATATACTTATTGCAAACATTGACAAGAGAATGAAAGCTATTGAAGTAACAAATATAATTCAATTTAACTTTTGTTTTATATAATTGCTGAACAAAGTGCTTATTTTGCATAAAGATACGCAGTCTGGTAATTACACAGATTAGTATTAATTTCGCTGATTTCAATGATTTTTGTACGTGTCGTCAAAAGTATGTTTAGTACCACCATCCACACGCTTAACCCAGACCTCGCCTTGTTCTAATCCAAGCCTGACCTAGACTTCACCTATAAATCTATTCCAGATCTAACACAGACCTTCATGTTACCGTGAATTACTAGCCCAAATCTATCTTAAACCTGACTAGGCGTTTTCTGGCTACAGAAAAACTGGAGAAGAAAAGTAGATTGTTATATCCAATGAATGAACATCCCCAGTGACCGAACATTTCCCGTATAATATAAAATAACTAACGTTAATCATAGCTTTTCCACATAAAAATGTATACAGCACTTTTATTAGGCATCTTGCAGTTGTCATTCACTGGGACCGCGATAAGCCACAAACGAAACGAGCAAAAAGAATTTTTGTCGATCTAATTCCATCTAACCTTCTCTCAATCACTGTCCATTAAAACGTCAAGTACAAACTTTTAATCTACTCAGAGTGACGATCTTGGCAGCAAATTAAACGATCCTCGAGATCATAAAGCGGTAAATTTTTACATAAATACTTCCCAATAGTCCCTGCATCAATTAGCTACCAGGAGAAGTTCGAAGTCGTTTTTTCATTAGCATAATTCACAAATTGATTTTGTCTCAATATTGACAAATATAGCACGTGATGTTGGTTTCGTTGGAAAATTTGATTTTTGACTTCGCTACGATTGCTTTGCGGTGTTCAACTGTTTCCTCGTTTTGTTGTTTCGTAAACAGTAAATATGGACACCGTGACCATGTTATTTTGCAACGTTCTATATACGATTCCCGAAGGAAAATATTGTCACAATAATTAAGGAATTGTAAACGATAATTAGAAAATAAATATTCGCGAAAACATGGCAGCAATACTCGATGAAGATCTGTCTTCTTTAAAAAATACAAACTCAAATTCTAGCTAATTTTACTTCTAGGATCAATAGATCAGTTATGTGAATTAAAAATGTTGTTAAAAATATATTTCGATTCGTTCGTTTTTATAAGCTCGATAGATCCAAAGATGAAAACGAATACCTGACGATTCACAAAAAGATCTCAAAGAAGTTAAAAGGACCACCGTTCACATTAGAATACACTCTTAACATCATTCACATAACCCTCGGACGGTGGGCCATTTTCACAATTGTATCATCAACGATGTTTACAACGATTCTGAACTTTATTAAGCAATTTCTCGAAACGTATTCATTAACAAACGTCCTGCCGACTCATTAGCCTTCCCGTTGTTCCTAACATTGCAGCAAATTGATTTCACGTAACTGCCGAAAATTGAGTAATCAAGCGAACGATTTAAATGCTCTAGGTCAAAACGGACCTAGCCACTGCCTTGGCAGATCTAATTCCCGAAGAATTCGTTCAATCCCCGAACTTCTTCAAGTTCTCGGTACTCCCCGAAATTTCGCCTCGTTGGGTTCAGCCTAGCTGGACCGCCAGAACAGGTAGCAGGAGCAGCGAGTGAACGAACGACGACGATTGTTGGAGCGCTAAACGTAAGAAAGACCGAGGAAACGAACTTGACGGAAGCAGGTACAGGAGAACGAACGACCGAACCGAGGGACGAACGATCGAAGGAAGGCCGGCCGAGAGACACACGAGACTCTCTAGCCTGGTAGCCGAGCCGAGGTGAGCGGAGCAGAGCATAGTGGAGAAGAGCAGCGCGGCGCGGCAGAGATCGGAGGATCTCCAGGAGTGGAGGCCACGAGCTTCTGCGACTTTTCCTCCGGCAGCGGTTGGAGCTTGCGCGAGAGAGCGGTCGTAGGCTCGAGGGGGTGCGCGAGGAAAGCGTGTGCTCCGGCTGGATGGATGGAAAGAGAGGCCTGGAAAGAGAACAGGCGACTGCGGAAAGCCCGTGGAAGAGGGAGACGGCTGGTGTGGAAGGTTTCGGGGGTGGTCGGGTTGCCATGGCAGCTACCCCGGCCGGGTAGCAGACCCCAGTCTTGCCGCGGCGGTCGCCGAGTGCGCGACGGCTCCGATCCTTGTCTCGAACCTCTCGTTACGTTCGCTCGGTGGTGATATATGCCCGTAGTTGTACGTGGCTGATTAAGTTGGTGATTAGTCCGGTGATTAACGGACCGTGGGGGCCAGTGCAACGACGCGCCAGTGAACCGGATGCCCGGAGTACGAGAGGCGGCCGACGATCGGCCAGCGGAATGTAATTCCTTACGTTGTTTTCGAGCAAGTGATCGCCACGCGTGATTCCCGAGCTGCGCCAGGTGTCCTCGAGGATCGAGAGATCCGAACCCCGGGGCCCTCGATCCGTCCCTACGATACGTCACGGCTTGTTGTACGTCGAGACCCTTCCGTGTCCGACGATCGACACGTACCGGGTGTTTCGCTCGACTTTTCACGCGGTTCACGTTTTGTTTGTTCGTCGTGCCAGTGCATGGACCGCCTCCTCGACGCTCGTCGCTCGCCCCCCTCCCCCCCGCTCCCCCCTCCCCCCGCCGACCCTGTAGGGAAGTTAGGCAGAAGATTACGACCAGGATCGTAAAGTGATGTGACGCCGAGCTGCCGAGAGCCCGCGAGGTGTCCTCGGAACTTTGCGAAGAACCGAGGAGTCGCCGGAGTCTTCGAGATTTTCGGACCCGGCTCTATCGCCACTCGATGCAGATGTCTCGTAGATATATCGTTTGTCACCTTTCCATTTCTCGTCGTTTAAACCGATCGTATTCGACTCGCTGCCGAAATCGCTGGGACACCTGATCACGGTTTCTCTCTCGCCTAACTAGCCGTTTTTACACGTGATCGTTTCGCCGTTCACGTCGGAGTACCGCGAAGCGTGGGTAAATTACTTTTGCCAGAGGGTCGTTCCAGGTTCTGTGTCGCGATAAGGGCCGTTCAAATTGGGTACGAACGCAACAACAGGAGGGAAACGAACACTTCCGACGGTTTTCGCTGGCACTCGTGAAACGCGATATCGCGTTTTGCGTGAAACAGACGCGCCGCGCGAAGAATCGACGAGATTCAGTTGACCTGAAACACTATAACGATGGAGACAGCCGCCAGGATATCGTTCGCCTCTATTGTGTCCCCGGGATTAAATTTATACCTTTTCTCTCTAATTTAATGACGTGCTCCGTGTCTCGGAGTTGTCGCGCGATCGTTGTTTTGAATAAGCTCGAGTCGACGTGCTTCAATGGCACGCGAGTCGAAAGGAAACATTCGAGGAAGGGAACGCTGGAAAATCCAAACAACGACCTTATTGTGACCCTCTTTGCGCCGGCCGAAAGAGTCTGAAGAATTTCAGTTTCGAAAAGAAACTACGAAAATCTTGTGAAACACGATAATTAGAAAATTCAGAAAGGAAGAAGAAACGAAACTGTTGTTTATTGAAAATATTATGAAAACAACATTTTCTCACAGCGTACTCAACAACGATACATCGTTGTTTTACACTGAACGGGTTTTAGATATATTTGAACACTTAACCAAGCGCAATAAAGAAATTCAGAAGCTGACTATACACGGCTCCCTTTGTTATCGTTGCTCTGTCTAGGTGCAAGAACTATGCAACGCTTCACGCGTAGGATTCGTTGCGTAAAACCTTCCCACAGAGGTAATTATTTCTCGTTGGAAAGCTGCGAAAGAGGATTTACTGAAGATTTTGAGGAGTAAACGTCCGAAAACATTGAAAGTTGGATACTTCGCTGATAATTCGAAACGCTAGAAAAACAGCGTGGACATGTTTCGAAGCGTCTTCATCTCGTTGTTTCAATCTTTCACGTCTTATCGACAGCCTAGTCGTTATCAACGACTTTTCCAACGCTTAGATTCCATCCCGTATGCCTATAGTTTCGACAAACTTCAGGAGGTGTTCCCGGTTTTGTTCCGATTCGTAGGTTTCGTTGACTTCTTCGGGGATTATCGCGCGCGCGGCCCTTCCAACGTCGTGCATTTTAGGATTACGTGTTGAACTGTGAGTGGCAGATTGCGGAATTCGCATCGAGCTGGAGTTTCATATTGAAGGAGGATCCCGTGTGTCGTTCCGACACGTTTCGGAGCGTCGCGTATAACTTAAGTTCGAGCAGCTCTAAACAGGCGGTTGCTTCGAAAACGCGGCGGTACGGTAACGAACACGAGATCCAGCGAGCGTCGCTCTTCTCGGCCATTAAACGGGCTGGTGAACTATCAGAACGTGTTGTGAAACGAGTGCATCGGTGCATTTTGCCGCGATCGGTACAGCATTGAATCGTCCGACACAAATAAACCGCTTTCGCTTTCGCGGACAATTTCGAATGGCTCGACTGCAGCCTAATATCGGTTTTGCTAAATCACAGCGGCGGCTCGGTTCGTCGCAGTGCCGCCGCCGCCGCCGCGGACAATTTTCACGTTGCCAAAACGGCCGACGCTTCCGTTAACAAGTTTACTCCGCTTATGTGTCCGCGCGCGCGAAAATCGGCGCCGGCTACCCAGCGCCGCGCAATCCGGTTACCCAAGGTTTCTTCTGTCGCCGGAAGATAAGCGTGGGAATGTAATTTTGGAAATTGAAGTAGACGCTCCCGCTCGTACCCGGCAACTTGTCCCGCCGTTTCCTCGTTGCCGTTTTTAATCATTTTTCGCCGGCCGCGGAGACGCCGCCGTGCCAAGCCGTCTCCTTCCGCTTTCGAACGGGTACTCTTGATTTCAGAGCGATGAGATCGCCGGCGGACTCTTCTCCGTTGCGAATTCTTATTGTACCCATTTCGGACGATTTAGGAGAGCACGGCGGAAACAGTTCGGGGTTTGTGAATCGAGATTTTATTTCATACTAATAGGTCGGCTCCGTAAGTTCGCGCGGTTTTAATTTCGATGTGAATTTACCCGCGTAATAATTCTCTCCTCTCGTGAGATTGTTTACTCATTCGTTTCGTGTGATCAAAGTGTGAGCAAATTTTTCGGAAACTTATCTGACGGAACCGGTTTCTGTGTGATGCCTTTGGTTTTCGGGCATAATGAGCTTTATATTTATCGAATAAGGTGTATTAAATATTTGTATTAAATAATAAACAGAAAAAAAACTCACTCCACAGTAACTGGCTCCACTAGCTTGTGGAGTGTCAAGTTCGCAAGAACGAACGTCTCCGACATGTTTTCCTGCACGATTGAATCGTAAATGTTCAGGCTTGTTAGTAACGACTAGACCGCGGATTTTGTGCATTCGTGAGAAAAATGAGTGGATCAAAAGCGAAACGGTGAAGATATTTAAAGAATTTAAAGGTAGCATTATATTATGTTGTGAAAGGAAATAATTGTTTGCGAAGTCCCTACATCTTGCAGTCGACACGGACAACTTTCATTTTGCATAAGGATCCGCAGTCTAATTATGACTGACGCGCGACGTGCGATTTTGAAACTGCAGGAACTTACAAACCGACCGAATATTTGTGGAAAGAGACTCGGCTATTTTGTTGTTAAATCTCGTGGCCCCAGAAGTCAATCGATATTGGATTGTTGCACGGTTCCTGTTATTCCGTGCGCTTGTTTCCAGTTCGGGTTGACCGATCACTAGCTTGTGTTGTTTTTGTAAATTTAATAAAGACACGTGTGTATATATATATATATATATATATATATATATATATATATATGTATGTATGTACACTATTTATTTCCTTTTAGTTGTCGATACGTTCTTGACAGAGTTTATAAAAATATTGCAGAAATTCTGCAACAATCTGATGCTCTGTATTCGCAATATTCCCCATGATAACTTGACGATTCATCGTTTGGTTGATGCAAAAGCAATATCGATTTTCGATTGTGCAAAGATACCGGAGAATTATTATCAATCAATTAACGAGTCAAAATGAAGGAGCTTATATAAGACGGTGGATGACATTGATGAAGTAGGGGAATAATATCGTAGTAAATTGGTAAATTGTGTTTTGTTAAAACACTCGTTAAAAAACCAGAGAATTTATAAACATTAATTTTACCTTTGTTCTATCTGCAATTACAGTAATGTATTTAATATAGAAGTAGTTTCCAGCTCTCGTTCCGGACGCTGTCCAATTTCAACTTTAGCACTAGCAAGTGACAGAAACATTAATCTTCGCAGCGTTCGCGCCGCTTTTGTCATTAAAGAAACAGTGGAAACGTTTAAAGAATTTGAACGTATTGTTGTATTATGTTACATTCGTTGTAACGATTCCGAAAAGAAATAGAACGTCCATCGAACCGTGCAATCAATGCAGACAATTTTAATTTTCCATAAAATTCCGTAATTTTGCATATTACAGATAAAAGTAATTTATACACAATAGCTACCCCGGCGAATTTGATGCGCTTGCAATTAATTTATCTGATATCGGGTTCGTACGTTCCGAATTCGCAGCACGACCTCCGTAAAACTTGTTGCCACTGGACGTCGATGCAAGTTGATTTCCGTCGAATTTGATTTCGGTGAAAACAGTGTCGATCGAACCCGTGTATAGATAGCTCTCTCGCGGAGCGTGTCTCTCGTGGAGAGAAAATCGTCGAGACGGTTGAAAAAGCGGCAGTCGTTCGAGTATGGATGACAAAAATATCGTCGAGCTTCGTTGGCCAGGTGGTGTGCAATTTTATCAACGGCGCGTTCCCCGACGTCTGCCGGTGTTTACTGTCTCTCCAGCATCCGATCGAGCACCGTGGTTATGACTGTGCGGCGATATTAGTAGTACTTAGTTCGAGGAAACTCTAGTGGATTAATTCCGCATGCAGCCTGCTAGATTGCGAGCGTAATCACATCCGGCAAAACAACGGGGTACACCGCATGCCGGAAATATGAGCTCGCAAAAATTTCGCCGACCGGGGGTATCAAAGTACTATCTCCTCGCTTATATTTTGCCGATTTGTGCCCGACTGAATTCCACTTCTTCCACTCGCGGAACAACTTTCTCAAACAGAAACGCTTTCAAGAGCCCGGGGATTTCGGAAACGCCTGTCAGCAGTTTCGCGATTTCAGAGTTCCGGACGTTTTATGAAGGAAGTACGTTTGCTTATCGTGACAGTGAAAAGGTGTTAAACGTGATAGATCTTGCTACGTGCAAAAAATATTCCGTTTCTCGTTCCTTCTCTTTGAAATCGTGACGAACTCGCGATTAATATTTCGAGCAAAATTTAACGGACACGAATATTAGCGACTGCCAGGATATTAAGGTGGACTGCGGATCTTTATGCAAGAGCTGCAAAAAT